GGAATAACAATTGTAATATCCACTAAAGCAAAGCTTAAGTATATAACACCAACAATACGTACATTTTTTGTTTAAAAATTATTATGTATTAATGGAAAACCCGATAATATGTATTAATTTAATTACATATAATCAATGTGATTATAAATTCATAATTTTACAACTTATTTTACTGCATATGATGATTGATGTGGAAAGAAGGAAAAACAAAAGGGGAAAAAATTATAAAAAATTAACACAAAAAACTCTCCTCTACGTGAATAGGCATGGTCAATGGCAGAGTGTTGTTCACCACTTTGTACGTACAGGAATGGGGTGTCAACATGTAAATGACATTTTTTTTTTCATTTTCATTATCACGAAAAATTTGCGTATATATACATACATGGGTTTTCCTTATTTGTGAAAACATCACCACTGCAAAACACGTCCGTATCATTTTTTTTGTTCTTTACAATTATGTGGGGATTATCATTGCCAGATACAAAGAAAGAAAATTTATGATATATACGAGAAGGCTTCTCAAACAAATGGCTTCAACCAGCTGAGGAATCATTTTGTACCATCCTTCTACATTACATCCAGTCAGAAGGGTTAAACATGGAGTTTGACGTATATATGGCATTTGATTGAATATACCGAACTTGCTTGGATGAAATTGGGCAAAATTTGACTTTGAAAGAATGTTATACCACATTCATGGTATTGAAAGAAAGGTGTCGAACTTTTAAATATTTTATGAAACATCCATTGGGTGTTTTCGACATACATGCAAAGACCATTTATCTTGACGAGAACGATCGTGAGGAAGCATTTGAGGTATGCCAATAGTGTACAACAATTTCTTTACTTGTTTTGCCTATTTTATATTTATCAAGTTCTTATATAAATATCTTCTATTATTAGATTGTTTAAATCTCGTAAATCATATTCTCTCAGATTTGGGCATTAGCCGAACATTATTGCAGCAGCAATCCGGAGCCTCTGTGGGAATCGTTGAAAATAATTTTTGAACCCTTACAACTTGACCCATATCTAGGTGAAATATTAGCGAGACATGAACATAACACTCGCAAATTGAACCAAGTTGTTGACGAGTACTGGGCGGAAGAACGACGTATGGTAGGGGGAAAAAAATGGAGAGGAAATTGATTGCGGTTGCGTACTTCTGAAATTGTGTGAATTGTTGCGTTAATTATTTCAAAGTTTTAAAAAAAAAAATGTCTTTTTTTTTATAAGTCTGTACAAGGTGGAACTATCGAATAATGTATGGTACGCATTATTTGCAATTGCATAGTTTAAAATATTTATTCCGAAAAAATAAATGCACATCGTGCGTGAATAAAAATGTACACAACGTGCGTGAATAAATGCCCGGAGGTCCGAAATAATCGATATTTGACCCGCATGACATCGTGCGTGACTGATCTACGCGTTCGAACTCGATTCTCGGTAAACCGAAGTGACACGCGACCTTGCGGGGCTCACGTAAATGGTTTTTTTTTTTCATTTACTTTACATTTATAATATTGATATATGTAGCAAACTATTTGAAAGAAAAATAAATAAAATATATTATGATAAATAATATTTGTAGTGCTTTGTATTTATTGATGTATTATAATTTTATTTTACAATTTTTTAATATTAAAGTGGTACCATATGAATATACACACTCAAACAAGTTTATTTCATTGTTTACAATACACATAAATCATACAACACCAACAAACACAATATGAATACAAATGACTTTTCACACACAAATCGAAAAACATGATTAAAAAAATGGCTTACACAAAAATACAAACATCATATAATTTTTGTCAGCATAAACAACATTTTTAATTATCTCTTGTATTATATTAGTATAATAAAGTTCATAATAAATTTTACAGTAACAATTAACAGCTACCTACGCAAATACTCGGTTTGGCAAAGCGCATCAATTCTAGAGTTTAGAAAAATAAAATCAATTGTACCTACTCTTTACTCATTTTAAGCAAAAGTAAAATAAAATAATAATAATATTATAAAAATGAAAGATATCTTCAATAATAACCATAATGAAATATATTTATGCCCAAACACATGACGTATGATCTTTGAAAAATCTTTGAATATGTATGCTACTTTTCTTCACTTCTACCTTTAAAAATCTTTGCATATGTATGCTACTTTTCTTCACTTCTACCTCTAATTCTATGTAAACATTTTTTATTTGGACAACAAAATCATATTTATGTAATTAAACCTTAGTCTTACAATACAAGATTAATAATAAAACATACGGTTACATGAATAATAGAACAACTAACGACAACATACCACTTCAAAGTCCACATAGATT